ATTGCCAGAGAGTCCCATTCTATGACGAAACAGCTATGTAGCCCACCCTGTTTTTAATGGTTGTTTAACAAGAATTAATACGTATTATGAACTATAGTACACATTTCTCTCCATAAACCCTTTGTACTAACAAATAAGTATGCTAAACTTTTTTATTACCATAAAAAACTGTAGTGTTCGATGACTGAAAAAAATGACCAATATGGATGTCGGGTGTTAATTATCAAGTCTAGGATTGGGTGGGGAAAGCGAAGAGATGACCAGTTCATGAAGTGTCTCCGGAATAAAAATGGAAACTATGTAAAACTGGGATCAATCAGTTCACCACTATTTCCTATTTGGGGATCCAGAGATGATGCAGCTCATTGGTCTGATACTTTATCAGCCATGACTTAGAATATATTCCAGACGTGAAATGAACCCATTTGACTAATAGGATTCTTATTTGGTATTTTTATATAAAACTGCATTTTCTCTTACTTGGCATTATTGTGGACTCGTTTTTCTTTACTGTACTGCTCTTCAATCCTTTATTTCTTCACAACATACACTCCCCTTATTTATTTGGTACATATGTTTTTGTTTCTAGTAATACCGGGATTTGTGTATATTATATAGAATGAAGAATATTAAGGTATTGGCTTCATGCCTGTCAATAACTATCAACAACATGGGTATGTTTAATATTAATCTTGAGGGCATTAATGTTCGCTGTTAAATTTAAACTTGTTTTATACGACATACATATATTGAACGAGATGTTGAGCGCTGTGCTTTTCAAAGCATAACTGATTTTTTTTGTTGAACTGAAATGGTTATAACAATAGTTGATCTTCTGACTAGTAGCAGAACCATATCATACTACAATTTAGTCAATAGGGTTTATAGAATTTTGTCAATCGATTTGCACAGTTAAAACTAGACTAAAATAAACAATAAGTCAAACATCTAGATGTCATATTAAATAGCACTTATCAACATAGCATATATTGAATATTTTCCGGAGAAACTGATGTTTAACTACTCAGTGAAGTTAGATATTATCAGTATGGTGCAAATAATTGTTCATACATACAATGAGTGTTTTATTGAATTACTACAATTTATCTTCTGAAGATTGTTTTTGTAAGTAGCAATCATTATAAATTAATCTTAGTTGAGATACCATCAAGTACTGGGAAGCATAGGACAGCTGTTTAAGTTTAGCACAAAACTTCTTAAACGTGAGCACTCATAACCGTACCAAGAAAAGGATATAGGACCTTCAGGTCTCATAGTAAGTGTCTAGCCATTCGAACCACTGGGCCAGTGTAGCTAGTATGCATTGCTGAAGAGAGCAATGCTGTGACGCAATAGTTATCCAGTGTTTCGTAGTTTTCAACAGTACCCTATCTGAGATTGATTCGTAATAAACGTTAGTTACGAATCGAAACTAGTCACCACAAAAACCCCTTCAAATGAACTGTTATTATTACTGTAAATATTAGGAGTAGTGTGGTTTTCATTAACAGTTTCGAAATATCTTAATATTATACGTTAGTAATTATATATGAAATTCGTTTAACTATAGACTTAACTTACAATGAAGCAACGACAAATCAAGAAAAAACACTTAACTAAATGTGAATAGAAAAAAATAAGCAATAGTCTAGATGCTAATTTTTATGGCGGTTGGGAGATGTATTATGGTAAGCCCAAATATCTCGTGCTTGTGTAGAAGTAATGTGGTATCAGTTAATGAAGTAATTTTACATTTGACTGGTTATGTTAATAGATAAATACTATAACACTAAAATCCTTACGACTACCGTAATTAATTCTGAGAATCATTCTCAATGAGATGGGTGCATTCACTAATTATCTTTTCTCATATCTTGATATTTAAAATGATCTGATTTTTTATTTCTGAATCAAAATGTTTATATTTAAGTTTTTGATTGAGATCATGAACCGATTGATGTTAGACGACCATTGAAAACCTGGAAGCACTGGACGGCCGTTTCGTCTATTGTGGGACCTCTCAGCAGTGCTCATCCACTATCCCGCTCGCGGGATTCGAACCCAGGGCCTTCAGTCTCGCGCGCGAACGCCTAACCTACTGAACCACTGAGCCCGCATCCAATGGTGTTAGTGTCTAACTATCACCAATGTTGATATATATATATATATATATATATATATATATATATATATATATATATATATATATTCAATTCCGAAATCGTTTGAATCACAAATTGTATTTAGTCAAACAATCATTGGCAATCTGAACTAGCATTTGTTAGATAACTATTTCATTCTTGTATTGGAACTACTCAACAAGGAGTACCTCTCGCCAAGAGTTAAACCTATTTGGTAAATAGGATCTAAGATTTTTGTACACTTTGTAAGTAACTTTCATTCAAAGCTAAGACAGAAGAACCAGTAAAACAGTCAAGTTTTCAAACAGTTATTCCACTATCTATTTGCTGATATAATTAATTTGGAAAAATATTAAGTACTAGATTTAATCAAATAAGGATTGAGGCAGTTATTACCTGTTTGTATAGTTTGAAATACATGTAAAATAATTATAGTTAAAAGTGAGAGCAAATTAGTCATTTGATTTTCACCACAAAATTCAACATTTGAATATACTTTTTGTATCGGTCACCGTAGATAAGGTCTAGATTAATGAATAATTTGTTTCGAGAAGAAAAACTCGTCAAATCCTTTGTTGAAAGCCGTAATTCAATAAAAACATTATTAAATATCACGTAATTAAAATAGAAAATTATGAGTTGTTTATACTACTTACAAGTTGAAAGTAAAATGCTTACAGCCAAACTGAAATGTATTAGTTTGGGTTATACTTAGGTTTCAGAGATCGTGTCTTCTCACTGGTATAAATTGTTATATATTAAGGTAAATCAACTGTTGTCCAGGAGTGCTTTGTTTATCAATTAAAAAGGTCAATTCATGATGAGAATAATGGTGAAATAATAGTTTTATTTAATGAGGCTAAAAACAGTCCACTAAAAAGTCACACAAATGGACAGTTTTATAGAAATTCACCAGGAAAACGTATGGATAAATAGTTTAAGGTACATATCAAATCACGTATTGATAGAAGACTTTAAACTTATTCTATTGCATATATAGTTTAGTTTGGATTATGATTAGCAGTCGATTCACTGTGACACATGTTTCTTCATATCTGGGACTAATCAGATGGAACACTCGTACATCCTATTATTGGTCTGCATAGTGAGAATCGAACCCGGTACTCATAGCTTGAAATGTCGAAGGGGTTATCCACTAAGCTAATAAACACAAAAAATCAATGATTTTTTAACACATGGTATGTAACAACTTGCATGGATTTGTATTTTTCCACCGTTTCTAGTGTCAACGGTGAGAAAATATAGGTCACGTACAAACGACAATCAATGTTTGGTTTCTGATGAATTATGTTTTTTTTAGCTAATCTCAGTTGGAATATTTCAGAAGTTATTAACTCTGACAGAAAATTTCACTCTTAATGTATAAGTTTTCTTCAAAATAGATTAGGTTTGCAATATGTAGATGGGATCGGTTACACAATGATCTCAGTTTGGGTACCACTGAAACTCGATCAATACTGGGTCCAACCATTAGTATGGCTAAAGGTTTACAGTGATAGATATTTGCATGAAAGGATGCAACTATAATCCATTGCTCGTTGGTTTTAAAATGACACTCTAAATGCGATCAGTCTGTGACGAAAACTGCAAACAAATTGAAGCAACCTACACAATCACCTCCAACTAAAGTACATCATAATTCAATATTTCCAGAGAAATTAGCAATAAAGTCATGAGATAAAAGACTTTTGACTTCTCTTTTTTCCTTGTGATACACTATGGTAATTGTTTAAAATATTTATCAAAATATTTACAAATCTGTAATAACGCTCACAATCCTTCTGTATGTCTAATTATACTTACACAACTACATGGGATAAATTATGTAAAAGTTCACAAAAATCCAATTTGAATCGTGTACTTTTAAGTAGTATGTAGATATATGAGTATATATTAGCTCCATAGAATAGTAATTTTTTCGGGTTTTTATTTTGCTGTCAGGTGTAAGAAAACTTTTTGGTAAAAACAAGCAAATTATGTTCATTATCTTGTCCTAATTGAGAGATTTAATATATTCCTTCACATTATATCATTACATAATATCGGTATATATCTATAGAGACTCATTCGCTTATTTTTGAGAGTTTAAAAGATTTGACTTTTATGGTTAATGGTACTATGTGTAAACTTCAATGAAACGTACACGGAAAGTGAAAATGTGCCTAAGAAAGCATCTCTTTTCAATTCGCTAGGCGTTCCATTCAGTTGAATTTGAAATAGATATTTTGTTCTTTTATAAAAAACTAGTAATATATTTACTGGTCACTTAAAATGACGAAAACTGCGAAAGATTCAAATGTCCGGCCTGTTCGCTACATTTAGAATGCAAGTAATAACTTATAAGCACATACTGTAAAAAAAATTTCACACTATAACTAAACAAATACACAAGTCCATAAATTTTGTTTAGTTTTCATAGCCATAGATTATCAAAAACTTGATCATATGCAAATCTTAAGTTTAATACTTCATGGATAGTTATTACATTAATACTAAACATTGAAACAGTAAATAAATGTAACATAATTTCATTTATACGCGTATATATTTGTCTATAGTGTATATCCCAAACTGACCATAAAGAGATGACCATTGAAAATTAGAGGACACTAGACAACTGTTTCGCCCCATTATGATACTCGTTACTAATGCACATCCATGATTCACGGCAGAGAGTTAAACCAAGAACTCCTGGTCTCGCGCGGGATCTCTTAATCAGCTATCCTTTTTTTCAATGGTGATCTATCTAAGATCAGTTCGCAATATAAAGTATGAAAATTCTAAAATCTTCATAAACATCCTGCACTAATATATATAAGCGGAATAGAAGATACTCACTTATGTTTTGAGCCATTTCATCCATTGCTAAACTTAAGGGATACCATGCAGCGGCCGCGGCCACAGCAGCTGCCGTACTAGTACTATATGGATTCATTGATGTAGATGAATTCGCATCGACTGTGGTTGACGCCGATGATGTATATGTTGCTGACGATAATGGCAATGTAGATACCGTTGAAGAGGATAATGAAGGTGATGTTGTTAACGATGTCGTAGTCAAAGATGATATAGTATTTCTTTCCGAATTATTATTATTACTGATAGAGTTTAACAAACTTGGTATATTACTGATGAATTGATTAAATGGTAATAAACTCAAATTATTGTCAATATTATTCGTTGATGCAACAGGATGACATGAATCTTCATCAATAATACTATTATTATTTGTAATATTACTATTATATAATGACTGAAAATTATTTAACAGTCTTTGATGTTGTTCCTGTCTCTGTTGCTGTAATTCAATTGAATTGTGAACACTACTAGTATTGAATGAAGTCCATGTTAAAGGACTAGCACGTTGCATAATTTTGACCAGCACTACCACAAGTACCGGTCAGTTAAAAATGATGCTCATACACATATACTACACCATATATAAAAACACTCTTCACAAAGAATAATCGAGTAATAATCAATAATCAAATCAATTAAATATTAATCCACAATTATAGTTCTTGTTCGTTTCGTTGGGATAATTATCGGTTGATCGAGAGAGAAAAAGTCACAAAATCAATTTTGATTTTCTGTTTACCTAAGACGAATAGATATTATTTCTTCTTATGTTGAATTTGATAAATATTTATATTTTTCTGCCTCAAAATTATGTAACTACTTTCTTCTTTGGCCTCTTTCTACTTATTTTTTTCTCTCGTAGATTCTTCTTCGTTCACGTCTTTCTGAATTATAATAGTGTCAATGAAATGTTAATTATGAAGTATAAAATGTTTTTTCTCAAATAAAATATGGTTATTATATTAAATATTGAATGATAGCAAAGTGAATTTTGAAGATAGACATTCTGTAAATGGATGATTGAACAATTGTCTGTATGTGTATATTTGCATGTATCCCCATTCGTGAATGATTGTGTATGTATGTATTGGTATTTGAATGTATTAATATATAATGATAATTATATTATTACATCGCCTGTAGTCGTTGTCGTACTACTAATAGTAGTAGAGGTAGTTATAACAGTATCGATAATAATAATAATAATTTAATTTGACGATTCATTCATATATGCACTGTCTATGTGGTCATATACACATTAATACACATACAAATGCACATATTGCATTAATTATTAAATAGATAAACCACATACACAATTATATTATTCAGCCACAGAGGAAACTAGTAATTTCAAAAAGCATGAGATAATTTTCAATACAATTATTCACAAGAGTGAGAATAAGAGAAAAGAATACGTTGTGTTTATTTGTTAATGGTGTTTTGTCTACAATCTTTTCAATATATTAATATAAATAAAAATAATAATGATAAAAATGACAAGAGAAGTAATAACATGTATGTATGTATGTATGTATCTATGTAAGTATACATATAATTTTCCTTTGTATGTGTATCTGTTACTATGTGTGTAGAATGAATTGTAAAAACGTCCAATTGACAAATTAAAGATGAATTGATCTAACCAATTAAATGATTAGGATAAAGGAGAGAAAAAAAAGAAAACTTAATAGACAAGGTGATAAATAACAAGAATAATAATCATAATGATAGTAGATTTCTTCATTTCTTTTCTTCTTCCATTATTCAATTTATATACATCAAGGAATTTGTCGAAATTTATTTGATAGTATTAAGGGTTCATGTAGAAGTTCATAGGTGTATGTGTATGTGTACAGTTGAATTATGAATGATAATTTTTTTTTAAAAAAAAAGAAAAGAAAATATAAATTGACCTACCACAAATCGAATAAAAATTTTATGCCTGTCTTTAATTAATCTGTCTATATTTCACTTTCAACTTCTACAAGGTCATCTATTTAAATTTTAAAAAGTAAATAAATAAATTTGATGGAATGTCAAATGATAGGTTACTCTATAAAGTTATCTATTAATTAACCAACCAAAATTATTCGTTTGATTTAATTATATTGTTATCTATTCAACCAACCAATAACACACATACACACATGCACACACACATATATATACACACATACATAAATACACATGTACAAAAGGCATATAAACAAATTTAACAAAACAAATTTTTAAAAAAACTATTATTCATTGAACAATAAACAAATTTGGAAAGCAAAACAAACTAATTGGGGAATAAATTATCATCTATTATATATACATAATTTATTTGATCTTTATCGTTATATTGATGTTTATGTTTTATTTGTTTATCCCTTCTTCTCTATTTTTTTTTGTAAAAAAAAATAAAGAACTAGTGTATGTTGATTGATTGTTTTACGAAGATAAAGCCGGATTTGACCTTTTAACCTTGAAATAAATTGAAACTAATTCTTCAGGAAAAAGCAAAATATAAACAACTGTATGATGTATATACAAATAAGTGATTCATTGATCAAAATCAATGGGTGTGTAATTCATTAAGTAATAGCAATAATAATAATAATAATAATAATAATAATGAAACATACATCTATAATTCATAAAAGGGTTTACATTGTTTAGAAGGAACAAATAAATGGCTATTCTCATAATCATTATGTTTGGATTGATTTTAGAATAATTAATTAACCTGATGTGTTGTTGATACAATTAATTTGTTGGTTGTGTAACTGGTTATCATAACTGAATGTGTATATGTGTGGGTATAGACACAGAGAGAGGAAGAAAGGATAAAGTTCAAATCCGTAGGAACTTTATGATAATTGAACTGTGGAGTATTCTCATAGTAAACAGAATTATTAAAATGTCATACAATTAAAGTATGAATAAAATGCCTTCTCCAATCCTGATGTATTTTTATAAACCGAAATAAAAACATCAACTTGGTTTAAAATACAAATATCTGCTAGTTATATCTGATTGAATTTGTTGATATTTTTTAACCGAAATAGTTGAATTTGTGTTAATCTGTAACAGTTTATGTCAATTTATTCAAAATTATTTGCTTGCTGAATAAACGTGCGTTATGTGTTGACGTTTGAATTAATAGGTATTCGGTTCGAATACTAGTGTAAACATCAATAATAAGATGTATGTATATTCATTGGACTAATCCCATATAGGATGAAAAGCGCCACCTCCATTCCACTGCTCTATGTAATTGTAGATTTACTAAGAAACCTGGAACCGAATGGTTGTTTCTGAGATATCTGTATAAGATGCGTAAATACTCATAGGGACTGATCACTTTTAAAAAGGGGAAAATATAAAACCATACAAATGATATTACATTTGAGTTTATTTTTAAATAGCTGCACTTATGAGGATGCAAGTCCTGAAAACTAATTAAATACATACATACAAATAAATCTTTAAAAAGATCTTAAATTACCGTTATCTTTAAAGATGTCAGAGTGATGGATATGTGATGTATCATAGTTTGACACCTCATATAAATAAGAATTCACATTAATTAATCAAGTAATATGCGACCTACATCTTTTTAGACGATTAAATTGTTATTCATTTTCCATCACTTCACCACATAGTGGAATTTGACTAGAGATATCAACAACTATTTGTTATCAGCCCGCCTAATGTAACGCAACCTAATATATCGGATGAAAAATACAAATATAATAATCATTAGAGCTTGAGACTAAGTGTATTATGCAAATTGAATTCTGATACTTAGCAATCATTCGCTAAATGACTGAAAGAAGTGGGTACAACATACTTAAAGAATAGCTTTTTGTGAAGATTGCAAGTACACCTTGCTGACGAGTGCCAAGTAGTACGAAACCTAGGTCTAGGGTTTCCTATTGACTACTTCCAACCACCATCTTATCTCAACATATTACACGGAATATCGAGTCACCTAGACTAATGGCCACATTGCAACTTGGTCGATAGTATTCGATCTGCACTAGGTAGGACCAGACACATATGACGTTGCTCATCCACCACCCAGTGATCAATCAATTGTGAATAATTTATTCTGTCTATTTGTGTAACTTCCAGTTTACCTAGTCTATTTTAATCAGTAGACACTTATTTCATTGAATCTTTATGGATTTTTCTCTACAATAATTGATCGTTGAGTAGTAACCGATGTTATGTCTATGTTGATTAATAATGTTAATTGAATTATATAATTAGAATAGGGGTCTCTGGAGATTGTATTGATTTTAATAGTTGAATTCATTAGTCAATGCGCACTGCTTAAGAGTCCCATACTAGGACGAAACTGTCATCCAGTGGTTCCGAATTTTTCATGGTGATCTAGCTTACACTAATTCATAAATAATATAAGTCAAGTTGCAATTTAGTAGTTATCCTATGTATTTCAACATCATATAGAATAAATTAAAATGTTTCATATTATTTAACATTCGTAACCGATAAATTTAATGCCGCTCGTACTCTTTGAAAGGTTAAAATCCAGAGAGTGATTTGTCTATGATCTACAACCATATTACCATTAAATATATATTTTTTATAGTCTTATAGAAATACTAAACGAAAAAAATGAATAGCTTGTATTAATTTCATTTAGTTGTCATCCTCGTTAATAATGTGTTTATCTCCACTGATTTCCCATATGAAAAATCGGCTTTTCTATGATAGTTTAATTATCTTTTTTGTTTTTTTTGATAATATGCATTTCGAAATCATGATCTTCATATGAAATTTATTTTAATTCTATATACTGTTCCCAATCAATAAAGATAAATGTTTTAATACAAATAGTCTGGGGTAATTAAAAAGAAAATTACCATTTTATACGGATAAGTTTATTTCAATATAGATTAATTTAGAAGTTAAGCGCTTACTGCCAGTTTTTTTAATCTTAGATTTTATCACCTGGTTAAGGTTATAAATATTTGTATTTCATACAATTAGTTTCCTTTATGAATTTACATAAAGCCAGAACAAACACTGATGTAGAATAATATGAATTCAGTATATTTCGTGGTTTCCTATCAGCTGCTTATGGAACAATTGACATAAGTGAATGTAAAGAATTGGAATGACAAAGGTTGTCAATAATAACTATATATATATACAAGAACAGGTCAGAGATTATTTAGTGGTAGAATCAAGGAAACATTAAGGATGGGTGATGTAACAGTTGAGTGGAGTATTTATAGAAATCCTGTATAATGTGACAAAATCATTGTTCATAGCTGGCTGATTCTCAATAACATTTCAAATAATGCCAATTAATGATCATGTAAACATCAAATTAACCTTTTTAACCAAATTACAATTCCAAGTAAACTTTAAAAAAAATTGTTTTAAACTCTGACCATCAAAATACTACAGAGTAATACAGGGGAGTAATTGTTCTATTCTTATTCGAAAAGAAATTTAATACTGTATTGAATTCAATAAATATTCCTATGATTTATTCAATATATTTGATCCTAGTTTTTATAGCATGATTTTGTGTATTCATTGAACAGTTCATTGATCTGTGGATAGTTTATAAATGATGTAAACTATTTTTGACTTATCTATTTTATAATCTTATTTTATGTATGTTTGAATATTGAATTAACTTACTGTTTGTCTGTCATGTAAATTATATGTGTACACTATTTCTGTCGGTTTTAAATTTAGTATTATTACTTAGCTTTATCTGAAATAAATATTGTATTTGAACTTTGCGATATCACACTGTCAATAGTAGTCAGTATAACAATATATACATATTCAGGATCTCATACAGTCGGAGTTAAACGGGATTTGAGTTGAATTTTTACTAAATAAAGCTCGTTCATTAAATATACATATATTATCCATTCTCTAACCAAGAAAGTTTCAACAGACTCATTCACATACATCTTAAATGTAAATCATCAAAAATTGTTTGGAATGATTACTTCCTTTTCTTGGCTTACAATTTTTATTTGTAAAAAAGTACATCTGTACTAAATTATTTATTTGTCACCAATAATACATGCCAAAACATGTATGCTCTTTCCCACCCACCACCAATATAGTTAATCAAAGTATACTGGTTATGATTTTCGTAGTGTATTTGTGATAATAATAGTAACAATAATAATAATAATAATAATAATAATAATAATCATAGTTATCATTAGTAGTATTAAAAGTTTTTTAAATGTATAATTCAGTGAAATTATGCATGTCCACCCATCCAATAATTTTTTTCTAAAATGGATATCACGAGAAATGATGAGTGTGATGCATGTTAAATGATGTTAACAGTAATCGTGAATGAAGACCCCACTACAAATTACAATAATTCTGATGATGATTATGATGTCAATATTAATAAAGGTCATTAATTTATTATTCTTTTCAATATGAAAAATAAATCCTAAGTCCTTAAAAAAAAACATATTGAAGGGTGTATTCAAATAACATGTACAGTATA